TTGGAACCTTTAGACAATATTAAAATAATTTTGAGGCAAAAAAGTCTCTGCTAAGCCAAATTACCAACAACAGCACCATTATCATATACTTTTCTACTTCAAATCAATGTCAGTTCATAGTGCATATTCCCCCAAATATTCAATAAGAGAGCAGCATTGGAAGCATTAAAGTAACACTAGGAAGTCTCTTAGTGTATTTTGCAATATTTTTCCCTTTTATCCTTAACTGCTGTGAGTTGTTGTTGTAACCATCATGAGAAATAAAGGCTCTGCTAGGCATACACGCTATGATTATGAGAGTGACTTCAAGGAATGATGAGACAGTACTGACTTAGGCTGTTCCTGATCCTGTGTCCAATCACTAATGAAAAGAACATTGTTTTTGATCTTTTACAACTCTCATTTTTGTAATGGATAAATTATTTTTTTATTGGGGAACCATTCGTTTCAGAGTACTGGTTGAACTTGGAGTGAAGTAATTGTCAAAAGTGTTATGCAAACAGGAGCACAACCATGACATTGTCCTGTAATTGAAAAGATATTTAACATTAAAGATTCAATTTTACCTTCAGAATTTTTGCACCACCAGCAGTTAATGGAATGGCATTCCCATGCTCTTGGCATTCCTGTAAGTATGTTTCCTCATACTGTATTCTGTAACTCATGCCTGAACTGTCAACTGGTATTGAATGCAAACTGTTTTTTTGGCACCACCTTACTCTGCTCCTAGATATCTCTGCTTTGAGGCAATAACTCATCTAGATAAAGCCTACAGTAGTACCACAGATCCCTTTCAGCCTCATTATGGCCTTTAGAACAGGGTGGTGTGCCTTGGTGGTGGGACAGTGATTCTGAAAAGAACTTGAAATCTTGGTAGAGAAGCAGATCCATGTGATCTACTAATGTGAAGCAGTCACTGAAATGTTAGATGCAATCCTTAACCAGCCTTTGTAGACAAGGTGCTTCCTTTTCCCTATAGTAAGTCTTGCAATTTTAGCAAAAGTTTGTAAATTTAGATGTATCCTTCCTTTGGTATTCTGCAGAACAGTGAGCCACCACTTGCCACCATACCCTCATGCTTAGTAGCTGTTAGGCTACATAAATATATAGAAACCTTCCAAATTCCATTTATGAATTTGAGTCACCACAGCCATTGAATACCCTGTGTTAATGAATTCCACAACTGAATTGCTTGCTATGTATAAATGTACATTCTTCTTCCTTTAAAATCTTCCACAATGTTTAGTAGGGAGTGTGCTGCTTTTTCAGATGCAAGAAATGCTGACTCTAACTGCACACAGTACAGCAGCTCTGTCAGATCTTTCATGTGGACAAGTAGAAGACCTCTAATGTTTTCTGTCTTCCTGATGTAGATAGAATTCCATATTTTTCTATATACTTGAGCAGCCTGATGATTCTCTCTATGATTCTTATTTTATTGCCTGTTAACTTTATTTTTAGGGCTGACAGAAAACAGTAAAAATTTTCACTCCTTAATAATTTTCCTCAGCCTTCTCCAACAAACAGTGATTATCTGTAGCTCTCTGGCTTGTGGTGGTTCCTGCTGTAAAAATAGTCAAAACAGATAAGATTTTCTCTAGTCCTTTGCCAGCATTTTTACTCTAATAGATAAACCCAAAATAATTCCATTGATGTCAATGGAGCTACTTCATAGTGGCATTGCTGAAACTGAAAATACCGTAATGATGGCATTAAGAGCATCCTGTTTGAGGCAGGTTTTGTTGAAGATATAATTTTATAAAAACAAAGAAGAAAAAGACATATTCAAATGCTTTAAATTTGAAGATCAAAGATTTGAGATTACATTTGCAGTTAACACTGTGAAGAAAAAATCAAGAGGACATTACTGGGACAGGGCATACTTACACTTTTGCAGCTCATTAGGTCTTTCCCATCTCACATCTGTGAGCTTTTTATGTGCAACACCTTTAATATACATTGCTAAGGCGGCTAAAATAATTAATTTTATTTTTCAGAGATCTTATTCCCTTGTTAATACCAGGTATAGCAGGTATTGATTTTGGCCTCTGAGAATATCACTCTGTGTTGATGGAGTGAGCTCAGGGCACCTAAATGACTGGGTAAGTCCACATTATAGCTTTTCTAGATAGTACAGGAGTAGAGCTTATCCTTTACATGTGCATGGTCAAAGGACCCAACAGAAATGTTAACACGTTTGAGAATTCATTTACTCCTTGTTGTACTATCCATTAACAGCAAAGATACATTTAAATACACTTTTATTTAAAAGAACAGCAGTAAAAGCAGGTAAAAATGCAAGTCCCCAACGGCCCAAAATGTGCTGTGATTACCCATTTCTTCTTCGGTGTGGAAAAAGAGGGACAAGATGTTATTTGAGTAACATAATGTGTATTAGAGAGCATGTAAAAACTGACACAGAATGCAGCGGGATAAAGTGAAGAGGGAAGAGGCAGCAGCCCGTTTGCTAAATTTGCTGTTGTCCCTGATTTTCCCCAAGGATGGTATGTATGGTAGTACCTGCCCAGCTGTGTGTTTGCAGACAGGACGCGCTTTACAACAGGGTGCAAAACCAGTGGAGTTTGCCGAGCTGTGCCGCTAGATGGAGGCAAATACTGCACGGTTCACACCTGCTAGGCAGGGTCAGGTGTGCCAATGGCAGCAGGTTTCCCCAAACGAGAGGTCCCGTATGGAAATGGAAAAGCAATAGGAGCTCAACAAGAAGTAAAATGCTGCTGGCAGCCTCATCAATGGTACCTTTGCTGTCTCTGAGGACAAAATTCCCGGCTTCTATTTTATTTCACTTGCTGTGGAGATGCTAACTTGGCACTGCTGCCTCTCTTGAGATCTATCCTTCAAGACACAAGGGTGTCTCACTGCCTCCTGTGCTGGCCCCTGCAGGTCAGTCACCTCATGTGGCTGCAGAAATCTGTCTCCCAGATATGTCCCATTGTCAGGACAGTATTCCTAGGAATTCATATATGGATTTTATCCCATTTGTCTCAGTTCATAAGGACATTAATTGTACACTAGAAAACAAATCTGCTACTTTAAGTCAAGTATTTGTTCTGGCTTCATTTATCACAGTAACTGCTCCAGCACTATACATGAATTGTTCTGTGTGGCCTTAGGAGTGTTTTTTTCTGCGTGATCTTTCCTCTGATAAAGCCTGTCTTCTATGGCTGCTTTCTCTTTATGAAGCATTAACAAGTGACTTGAGCTTGATAAAGAGCACAGTGTGTCTCTCTCTGTTTTGTGCTTTGTTCCCCGTGGAGACTTTGGCCAAGGTAACAGGGGATACTTTCTGTCAACATTGCATCTTTCCAGGACCCCCCCAAGTAGATTGAGCATCCACATAGACCATAGAGTCTTTTTTCATAGCCTTTAATACAGATTGGATCTGACCCTCCATTCTGGGGCTTCAAGTTTTTTCTCACACCTCAAGACACCTATGCCCTCAGAATAACATCCACTTAGCAGCAGCTACTTCATCTTTGAGCTTAGTGTGCCTGGTAACTGATGGGAGCATTTTCAAACTAATGTTGATACTGCGCTGATGCTTTGGTTGCTGCTCAGCAGCTTTTATATTAAGTAAATGTAATTTCCAGCCTCTCACACCACCCAACCAGTGAGAAGGCTGGGGGCTGTAAGAAGTTGGAAGGGGACACAGCTGGGATCCAAACTGACCAGAGGGATATTCCATACCACAAGGTGTCATATTTGGTACATAAACTGGAGGGAAAGCTGGCCAGAGGCTTCTGCTTGGCTGCTGCCTGGGCATTGGTCTGTGGGTAGTGAGCAGTTGCATTGTGCATCATTTGTTTTGTATCTCCTTCTCCTTCTCCTTCTCCTTCTCCTTCTCCTTCTCCTTCTCCTTCTCCTTCTCCTTCTCCTTCTCCTTCTCCTTCTCCTTCTCCTTCTCCTTCCTCTTCTTTTATTCTACCTTGTTCTACTTTCTTCTTCACATATTTGTTATTTATTGTTATTTCTCCTTCCTTTTCTGTCTTATTGAACTGTCTTTGTCTCTACCCATGTATTTTACCTTTTTTTTTTTTTGCATTTCTCTCCCATATCCCACTGTGGGGAGGCAGAGTGAGTGTAGTGTTTGGTTACCTGTCGGGTTAAACAGTGTCATTCCTTTTTGGTACCAAACACGAGGCAGGAAGGGTTGAGATAACAACAGATCTGACCAGAGCACGTTAAACCAAATTTGATGTAAGTATCCACGATATTAGTTTAATAGTAACTGATCACAATGTTGATTTATTTGCTCTCAGAGCTGTTGGTTGTTCTCCGAGCGGCATTGTGTAAGCAGCACGTTCCCTGCTGTGCTGTGTTACCTCTAGGGGCTGGGTTAAGGTCGTTCCTTGTACTGGGTAACACGGGTTTAGGAGCCGGCAAAGATGCTGGCCGTGACAGTGAGCTGGGGCTTGTGCTCCGCATCTCTGTGCGCAGGGAGCCATCTGTCGGAAACTATTAATAAATGCACCTTCTACCGTGGTAATTTTGAAGATTTTGAATATCCCTGGGAGAATCCCTGTAGTGTTTTTCTGTTTCATTTTTGGTTTTGTTTTTGTTTTTAAATTTAAGAATACCCAAGAGAGTTTGAATATCACAGAGCACAATGGGAATTCCACTACTTCTCAAACTTGCTTCTCTGGAAGGCCAGGGAGGACATGATGATGTAAAGCTTTTCCCTTTGGGGAAACATCACAGCCCATACTGAAAGAAGCACTGTGAAAACCTCCTGTATGTGTGAGCCATATGGGAAGCACACTGATTCTGAGGAGTCAATACTGTGAAGTGGCAGGACATGCATGGGAATTGAAAGCAAGCCAGGAACAGGATTTGTTCTTACATCAGTAAATGCACACGGGCTCTTTAGGTGCCTATAAACCTATTCACAAAGATACTTGTCTGCATACATGCAAGAGTAACTTAATCCCTCCGTGAAATGCCCGAAGGAAAAAGAAAACCTTAGGAAACAGAGTATACTTTTAAAATATTCTTTTATTATTGTTAGGTGAAATTGTGTAAGGTGCAAATGAATCAATATAAAAATTCAGGGAGAGAAAGTGCAGCTCAGGAGTTTACTATCTTGATTAGCCAGAGGATTAAAATTGCTTTAGAACACCAAAACAATGAGATGTGAATTCTCTGATCTTCATTAAGCACTTTCTTCAAGAGCTTGATGGCTTTTTCCCTGTGGAAAAGAAGCATAAAACATAGACACCCTACTGAAAATTGACAATGCAGACAACTATGTTTTATTCCTAGTGTTCTTCTAGCATGCCTTGAGTGAGGCAGTGCCTAAAGAAAAGCAAACCTGACAAGTTTTGTCCAGTGGGGTCAATTCTAGTTATATTCCCTTGTTACTGAGGAGTTTCTGCCTTTACTGAACCTGGTGAGTGGCACAGTACCTCTCCTTTCCTGCCAGTAGCACCCCTCACTGAAATAGCCCATCTGCAGAGCAAGGGCCACAGGATTTTCTTGGCAGAATGCAAGTGTGTGGGAGGACAGAGCACCAGGCCATGCACTGCTGCTTGGTCACCTCTTGGTTGCAGTGGGAACAGAGGGACTATAGTGAGTGGACAGAGTATGCAGGAGTTTGTTTTTCCCAAGTTTGTTCACTTTCTTTCTTTTTGGTAATATGATGAGGTCCTTGCAATCAGGGCAATCAGGGAGAGTGAAACCTGAATCCTAGTAGGTTTTGTCTTGAAAATCAAATTTCATCATGAGTTTACCGTATAACTTCTGAATTCCTCTCCTGTCATCCTCTGGAAGTCTAAAGGTTTCTGGGTTCTGATATGAGTAGATAGGGTACATCAGAGCTCCAGTGACATTTGAATGATCAAGTCCCAAAGAATGGCCAAATTCATGAGCAGCAACGAGGAACAAATTGATATCTGCAACATAGAAGCACATAAATGTATGTTAAGGGTATGGCATTTCTTTTTGAAATACAATTAATTGAAATACCAGGAGAATTTGTATGTTTCAATTCACCTTGGAATGAAACTTCGGGCTTTTGATCCATTATTGTTGAACTTTCTTATATAACTGTAATATTTTATGAAAAGACTACTGATATACATCTAGAGACCCTGAGTCTCTTTTGGACTCTGCTTTTGATCAGCCTCATTCCTAGAAGCAAATTAATTTACCTTTTCACAATTTATGTAGAAAACAGGACCTTATAGTCCTTGTTCATCCTGCAAAAAGTCCTTTAAAATATAGACAGAACAGGCATTACATAGCTGTTCATGGTAACGAAGCATGAGCACTTAAAAAGGTAGTTGAAAAGAATAGAAATGTTACTACTGAAGTAGTACTGAAGAATGAAGAGTAATTGAAAGCACTTCCTGTGGCTGTGTTCTTCCAATATGGACAATATTTGCCTTTCCCTTTCACATACACATGTGAGCTTTACCTTGATTGATCTCTGACCATTTTTCATCATCATCAAAATGAGCATCTCCACCAATCCCTTCTCCCGGTTCAAAAGCATGGGCCAGTGTGCCACCACTTCCGTCAAAAGGATATCCATCACCATGCTCTGCATTTAAAATAAATCAGTATCGTTGGATAAGATCAGTTGTCATATTTAAATTGAGCAAATTGAAGCATGCTGTTGGTTTGTGCTAGTTTTGCTGGTTGCCAATCCTTAAAAAAAATCTTACAATGGTAGCAAGGTTGTGAAAATGAGAAGTGAGGCTTAGGGAAACACTCTCCAAAGTCATGACTTAAGTTAAAATCTTGTATTTGATAGTTCAGTCTGATGCATGTTTCAGAAAGAGCTGAATATTGTTTTCCTGAGATTTTGTCAGAAGTGCGGTTCTGAGGCAGCACTAAGGGATTATTTCAGAATAAATACTTACTACTTGACAACATTGTTGTTAACAACTGACTGTTTTTGATGTTGAAAAGTGCTGGGCAATCTTAGTTGCAGACATTTTCACTTGCATTGATTTTAGTGTGAAATGGTGATTTGGGATAGATAACCATATTTCTGAAGAGATAAATTCATTTATTCCCAGCCTTGAGACATGAGCTATTATCTACTGCTGTCATAGTGCAGGTGGAATATTATTGTTTTCTACCTTGAATGCAAGAGATGGATTGGAGTTGTACCAACTTTGAAAATTTCCCTCACCCTCATTGTGAGTCTCTGATTTTATTGAGGAGGAGTAGTTGGGAAATCAGATGCCATCCTGTGTTCTTTCCCCCAGACCATGTGGATGGCCCTTAGGACACGACTAACACAGGCAGAAGAGACCTAATCCTAGTGTGTGACATGAGATTAAAGTCCATTCCATCTTGCAAGATCATTTCTCACTTTGACTGGGACATTAGGTCACCTCTTTTTGGCGCCATAATGTTCTTCCCATCAGTGACACACAGGCTTTGGACATTTTGGGGTTCATATGCAGCTATCTGCTTGCAAGCCAGGTGTCTGATCTTCATTTACATCTATGGAGCTCTGGTAAATATTGTCAATGGATCTAGAGAACAAGTCAGCTAACCTTAAAGCAGCCATTTAGTTTGTCTACACTGAGTCAGTTTATATGCCAGGCACAAGTTCAAGGTAGGGCTACATCCATAGTTTATTCCAGATCACAAACGAACTTCCAAAGCGACTTCTGCTCAGCCCCACTTACCATGCTTTGGCTGCACCTTGGTGCAATCTTGGGGTGCAACATACAATTCCTTCTGGAAGCAAATCAACCAGAAGACACTTTATATGGCCAAACATAAAGCTCCCCAGCTGCCAAATGGTGTTTATTCTGGGAACCAGGCTAGATCTAGGCCTATATAAACCTGCCTTAACCAGCCTGTGGAGGCTGGATCTTTAGAACCTGCTGATTTGCTCTACAGAGCTCTTCCCAGTAGTTTGCACTTTTTATCAAGGCAAAAAGAGCCTTGAACATCTAAATTTAAGTTTCTCATTCTGGAGCTGAATTCTCCCTTCATTTCACAGCTGTAACTCTGAAAGGATTTTTCTATCGGTTTTATACAAGTAAAACTGAATCATAACATACAAATTTGGTGACATGATATAAAGGGGACAAAATTTATGCAGACTTTGATTAAATTCCAAATTCCTTCTTCTTCCTTAAAGCTATGGCTACAAAAATGCATGCTTTGAGTAAAATCTGGACCATTGTATTTTAAAAAGGACAGATATTCTCACCACGACGTGCAAATCTAATCTCAATGTCTGCCCGCCTCAGGTAGACTCTTCGGAACTGCAGTGGAGTCACATCACTCCATACCATCAAGGCCCTTTTAATTGCATCATCTACTTTCCTTCTGGGTAGATCAGCTGTGTAACTGAGAATCCTGTCAGCAAAGAAGAGCACGTTAGTATCATTTAGGCTGTGAAGAAAACCCACGTAGTTAAATACAAAGCAATCTCCTTCCCCATAAAATCTGAAACATCACTTACTTGTAAGTTAAATTTGTCTTTCCCCATTTTGGAGTTCCAGGCAATGTTTGGTAATTTGATACATCGGGCCTACCACACCTGGGCAGTTTCATTATTTTTTCTGTTTCTGTGTCTAATTTTCCAGTTACAGTGAGGTGGAAAAATTTCTGCATTTCTTTAATCCTTTCTTCTATGCTTAGGTTTTGTGTTTTTGTGAAAATTGGAAAGAATTTATCAAGATAGCCCTGGAAGAAGAGAGGGGAAATAAAAATTAATACATATATCTGTGATGTTTTGGTAATTCCATTTTACATTGAATTGAATTGTTTCATCATCCTGCATCATCCATGTCTAGTTTTAGTTGTGTCTTTCCATTTCAATTTACCAAATTCTGCTCTCAGTAGTATAGATCAGCATATATAAAAAGAACTGTAACAGCAATGAAACATTTTAAGTAAGAAATCCTTTAGTTACCACAATTTACCAACATAAAAAAATCTACAAATCTTCAAATCTACAGCCTTCTAAAAAGTACACACAAAATTTTTTTACTTATTTTAAAATTACATGCTCCCTTTTATTTACCAGTTGGAACTTGGTCTCTTTTAAAAGTTATTCTTAGGAATTTTAAGCTAGTCAGCAAGTTTAAACTGCTGTATATCATGTCTGCAAAAACTGTTGTTGTAATGTAAGACAAGGATAATATAAACAGGTAGGAAAGCAATGTAGAAACTGAATCAAAAATCAGATTATTCATAACGTAGCTGTGTTTTCCTCCATGTAACATACCTTTACTTTCTCAAGGTCCGTGCTGCTCCCTGACTCTGCTTTCAGTTGTAGTGGTAAAGCAGGAGTCTCAGGTAGGATGATGACAGCACAGAGCAGGAGGTAGTGCACGGTGCCCATCTTGAGGAGGAGCCTTGCTGCAGCAGAAAGGGTTTGACTTTCTGTCTCCCAAGACCAGAGCTTAAACTCCTTATATAGATCCTGATAGCTCCAAGCAGCAATTACACATGTGACTCACTTTTTGGTGGTGTTAGTGTAATGTCATCACTGCTCTAAGAAGCAAATGAAAGCATGTTAAACAAATCTTTCCTGTAACTTCCCTGTTGATGTCACATCACAGGTAGCAGCCAGCTTTGTCTTACTCTTTTCATATTATTCCAGTAGTGAAACCACAGGGTCATAGGGAAGTTCACTTTCTGTAACTTTATCGGTACAGTTACTGTGTAATCACTTCACACTGCTCTTTTCACATGTTCCTTATACACAAAGGCATTTTGCAAGGGCCCTTTGGCTGCCTGCCTGTATCAGTCGATGTAGAGGAAGAGAGGAGCCCTGTCTCACTGAAATCACTGGCATTGCATAGGGAGCATGAACAGCACTGCCAGTTCAGTCACCTATCAGAGGTTTCTGCAGCTTTTACAGAGATCAGGAGACAGCTCTTTAAAAGTGCCCTCTAGAACTAGGAGGACATCAGGTATCTTTGTCCCTTTTCTATCAAATGGGGTGGCCTTTCAGAAGAATCTCTTTATATTTGAGAACTAGATATAGAATATAGCCTACAAGAGTAGGTGAAAGCTCTCAAGGAAAAGAGAGGAGCTTTCCCTAGCAAATATGGAGCTATTTTAGACCTCCTGCTGTACCAGTGCAATCTGAGAGAGCTGCATGAAGCACTGACAGAGCAGGGCAGCTGTCACCTCCCTGGACCCCTGACACCAACACTGGTCCCAGCTTCACTCCATTGAATTCCACTGGATAATTTTTGAGGCCTGGAAACACGAGGCTGGTTTATGATTTTTATTTCAGGATATGCAGTTTTGTGACCACATCACCTCTAATCTGAAAGGAAATGTGCATAAATAGGAAAAGAAGGTTGATATTTCTCATGCTAGTAGAGTTCTTATGGCTGTAGCTGAACGTGTATGGAAGTGTTTGTTGGTTATTAGCTTGTATCCAATGTACTTCTGACTGATGTGATCAGAACGAATTTCATTTCAGAGAAAGATGATCTATACCTCACACAGCTGGATTATGCAGAGAAGACTACAGTACACAGCAATGTGTGAAAGAGTTGCTAAAGGAATGATGCTGTCACCTACCATTGAAAACAGCCTAGTTACCAACATGTCATCATTTCTGTATGTTTTTGTACCTTGCAGAAAATCAATCCATGTCCAAATGTTAAGGCTTGGTTTAAAAAAATCCAAACTTTTTATTGCTAGAAATGAGTTCACCTTTTTTCCTCAACAGCTGTTTAATATCTGACTGTGGTAGTAAAGCTGGATCTGGACCAAGGTCCGGGTTGCAGGAGATGAGGATATGTCTAAAACACTTTGAACTCCATGACTCCAGTGGGACTAATTATTTCCTCATAGACACAAAAGGACTCTTTAGGGCTTCAGAGCTGATGGATTGTTGAGCAACTTATATATGTCTTTAAACGGGACGTGAGCAAACGTGAGCAAAACTCAAAAGGAGAGTTTAAACACAAGAGCCTGATGGAAAAGGACAAGCTCTATGCTATATTTCATTTTCTGCTGTAAGAGTGCCAACTCTGGTCTTTCTTTCTTTTTTTTTTTTTTTTTCCTTCCCAGAAAAAGTGAGAATATTTTGAAGAATTTTAGGCTTGAGTGTAAATAAAAAAAAAAAATCAATAAAAATAATTTTCATTTCTTTGGGCTCAAAATCAGCATGAATCAATAAAATTCTAATAAGATCAGTAACAAAAAGGAACAGATTCTGTTTCTTTAGATTTAACTGTGTGAATTTTGTAGATTTTATTGCTTTGTCTTGATCTTGAATAATAAAAAATATTATGGGTTAGGAAAAATAATTTCCTGCACAAAAATGATAGTCATGTGACTTGTATTCAGCAGAGAATCTGTGTCTGTGTCACAGAGTATGACTTCTGTAGACAAAGATCGAGGAGATCAGAAGTAACACTGTAGAGACATTTAATAATTGAAGTTGCTGTAGCCACATGGTGAAGATAGAAGTATTCCATGATGTAAATTCCATTAAGAAAACTACAACATTGCTTTGGAAAAGTTTATACTGTGACATTTTTAAGGAGAGTAACTCTACTGTGATCAATAATGCTTTTGGAAACTATGTCCTATGTGGAACTTGTTGATAGACACCAGACCTTTTGAGTTCTAGAGAAAAATACTTCAGTAAAAAGTAATACCAGTCTCTTTTGAGTGTGACTAGGATGAAAAAGTGAAGTAGAAATGAATGATTCAGTAGGGAATGATCACTGTCTTGGTCATTTGACTTGGGCAGAAAGCTCAGCTGAATTCTGCCCAATCTGAATGCAGACAACAGAGTTCATACAAGTCAAGAACTGCTCAAATATCTTTGTGAGTTTTATGGATCTATCTGGGAAAGATTAAATTTATTCATAGCAGTATGTATGGTGCTCTAGCCCCATGCTCTGGGTATTAGTGAAGAGTGTTTCCACAATGTGAAGACTTCCTCTGCTCACGCTTAGCTCTCACATTGTATGGAAGAGACTGAGTGGAAAAGTGGCTGGGAAGGGACGCATCCAGGACAATTCACCCAAATTCTCCAAAGGAATATTCCATATGATATAAAGTCATGTTCAGCAGTATAACTGGGCTAGCAGAAGAAGGAGGTGGAGTGAGGGTTGTCTTCCAAGGTGGTTATTGCCAGGAGACTGGTTGGACATCCGTTTGCATCAGGTGGTGAGCCTGTGAAACATTTCCCTCTAGCTCCACCCTTTTGTTTCCTCCATCCTTCCATTTGTTAAACTGTCTGCACTTCCTAATCTCTCCCACTGTGCGCAGGGAGCAGGTAAGTGGCTGTATGGATGATTAGATGTTGACTGTTTTCTACCCACTATGGTGAATACCAAGTAAAAAAGTATTGCCAAAAATTCCTGAGAAATATTTCGTTTGGGTTACTTGTGAATTATGCAATATTGTATTTAAAGTCCTATCAAACAGGACAGACCTGTTTTCTTAGGATCTGCAGGACACATGATTTTTGTTTTGTTTTGTTCTGTTCTGTTATCTGGTTATTCAATTTGACTAACTAAAAATAAATTCAAACACGACAAATATCTTTGCCTAGTGAAATGTTTTTTGCATTGCAGTTTCTGAAGTCCTACGAGGCACAATCTGATTCAGGACCTTCCTGGCTTCTGCAGTCCATTTCCATAGATTTTAGTCCTGATGGGGCTCTCTTCAAAGGAGTACCAAGGCAGCTGTGATACAGGGCTATGTGCCATTTTTGCAGGCTGTGTGATGGTAAAACCCTGCAGTCATTCCTGCCTGGGCACCAGGGTCGTGACAGGGCCCCTCGGCATTGCGTCAGCTCGTCTCAGGAGAAAGACAAGCCAGTTCTTCTCTCCTGTTTGGCTGGATCAAGCTGCATTGAGCCATTTCTCAGCAAGATCCCACTGCTTTAGGGAAGGAAAGGCCCGAGGACAGGATTAGATGTTCAGATTCAGCACAAACAATGTGATGACAACTAGCACATCTATGTCACTAATAATTAAGCAATCAAACGTAACACATCTCAACTTGTGGATTTACCATCTTCTCACAGTGTCTAGAATTGCTTTGCTTTGTTTCTCTAATTACTTTGTATTTACAACAGTTTAATTGGGACATCTGGTGGGAAAAGTTGCAAATATGGAGATAATTTTTTACAACAATAGTCTTGAGCAACAAATCACAAGGGAAATGGCTTTCCTGTAAATGTTACTTACCTGTGTGACCTTCAGACACCCTCAGTTCTTTGATTTGTCTCGTCCTTTGGTCAATGATAAAGAGTCTTTTTCCTCCGGCTAAGGGACATGTGGATCTCTCAAAAATGTCTACGTAATAATTGAATTTAGTCCATTTGAATAGAAATCACAATCTTTAGTTGTATGCAGTCTTTCTGTCTTCCAGAAGCAATGCACACGGCATGGGGAAGGGAAGAGGGCCAGAGGTCAGTCAGCTGCATTTCACTGCAATGTGATTCGAAACCTTGCTGGGTAGGAAAAGTTACATAATGTCCCATAGTCAGTTTTCATTCGTGAATTCACCTTTTGTAGTTGGCTGTCCACATCCATTTGTATATCTGTCTCAACACTGTCTTTAAATGACTGGAACAAGATGTAAACTAGAACACTGCATACATCTTGTCTTGGCAAAATAATATTACTTAACGTAGGAGCCCTCTAACTTAGCATTTGCACTAAGGCAACCTCAGACTGCCTGTAGTCCTGCAGCAGAATCCTGTGAATGAGCTGCAGAGTCCCACCTAAAACAGACTGAGCATTTAGTGGTGCTGCAAGGACAGGCAGAGAAGCTGTGACAGCATGGGAGGCACGCTGGACTTGATCTGTCCACAATGACTGTAACCCAAACTGAGGAGCATTCAATGTCTGAAGCTCCTCCTGACCCATCCTGATGATCTGCAAGGGTCTGTGCATGCTGGGATGGCATGGTGAGTTTGGGCTTTGGTGATTATGGAGAGCAGAGTTTGAAAGACAGGATAGACACTGCAGGACTTGGCCTGTGCTGAGCTTTCTGAACTTGTATAAATCTTTAGAAAAAGAGCTGGAAGTATAAATGACATCAACTGAAATTTTGCATTTAGCCTGATTTGAAAAATCCTACTTCTATACAAAAATTCAATGGCCCTGAAGTACCAAAGAATTGATACAAGATTTCATTGTAAATTGACATGCAATAAAGCAATTCCAGAGGAATTACAGGCTTACCTCTATGGTGTTATGCTGTAGTACAGAAGGTGTGAGAAGGAATTTGAATGCAGTCAATGTAAGATCAGTGCAGAAGCTTGATTTATCTCGTGTGTATTAGAGCTGAGATTCAGCCATGAGGATTGCAAAAGACCACAATCAGATGTATGTGAATACAGGTAAAAAAATTTGTACACCATTTCCCTGGAAGTTGTCAGATTTCATCATGTTACTGTCACTC